CCAGAAATCATGCAAGTAAGGCCATCTTCATAGCCTGAGCCTAATCTTATCTACTGGAAAGATAACCAAGGGTAATAGCTAAGGTTTATAAGCTTTTATATAGCATTTCAAAATCCAGGAAGATTTTGTTTTTATCACTTAAGTCCTCCATTTGCAGGTAGAAACCATTGTTTTTGGCTAGTCTGTATATTGCTTTGCAGATTAGGACATGGGCTACTTGAAGGATGCCCTTTTCTGTCAGTTGGGTGTCCATTTTATCTATTTCTGGGGCATGATTCCCAGGAAGGTCACTCCATGGCTGTATAACTGTCATATTCAGAGCTTGGGAGTAAAGACAACTGTTGTCTTTGGGGTGAGTTCCTTTGGCCAGAGGTGGAGCAGTGTGAAAGGATGTACCAACCCATGTGGATTTACACAGTTGCAGAGTTTTTACTGATCCCAAGCTACAGATTAGAGCTAGACTTCTTCTAGCAGAATATGTGAAATAGGGAAGCAAGCCAAAAATGTGCATAAGAGTGAGCAGTAGAGAGTAGTAGGTAACATACTTGCACCAGTCTGTTCAGCTTCTGGGCTCCCAGAGCAAACTTCTCTGTCAGTTAGGATTTTAAGTCTGCTTTATGGAGGCCAAGTCTAAAACAAATTTGTTTTTACTCACAGGAGTAGAGCTTTGCTAAAAGTCAGAGCAGATTGCCAAGCAATTCAGGATCTGTGTAAGAGCACTCCACATAACAACATACTCTCCATGCAGGCATTGATGGCTGTGTGCACAGGTGACAAGGAAACGCAGTTTGAAATACCTGGAAGAAAATTTGAGAATGGTTGAGAATTTGTCTTGGGGAAGACTCACCTAGTAATGATCCTGTTCAGGTGTTCCTGTTCTTTCCTCTAAAGATGAGGATCTTCTTAAAGCTTAGCAACATGTTCAAAAGGACATAATTAAACCTGTAACATCATAGCAGCAAGCCCCTTATGGAATTCTTTTTATTTCTGTGTAGAACACAGATTAAACTGCTTAATTCCAAATTTGTATGGAGAAAGCATTAAGCCACTGCAGTTCAAGACTTCTAACATTGTATCTTTTGCTAACTTAAAAATAATGATGGACTGGGTGTCCCTTTCCTAAATTGTGTGTTTTATTTATTTTTTCCATTTCATGGGAGCATTACAGAAGTATGTAGTATATATTAAAAATATTTCTAGCCGTCATCTTTGTGCTTTTCATCAATGCAAATTCCATTTATCTTGAAAAGCACTGGACAGTTTTGCTTTTTACTTTTGGATATATGTAAATCAGTAGAAATAAAACCAAAGTTGTACCTATCCATTTGAGTCCATAGTTTTTTCGTGTATTTTATATGTCCTTTTGTACTCACTTTGCATGCATGCATACAATAATTGTATAAAGAATGCTGATGTGGCATTTGTTGAGAGAATTTATTTGTTAAGGGACAGATTTTCTAGAAGTATTTGAAGAACCAAGAAATAATGGAGGTCATCTACTGAAATTTTCAAAAATTTCTAAGGAAGAAATTGAAATCTGTGAGAATGGGGAGTGAGCCCTTAAGAGGCTTTGTAAAGCATTCCAGAAGGTGTGTGTCTGTCCTTGCACATTTGGACCTTCAGCACTGCCACAGACTGGCCCACCCACCATATCATTCTTCCATCTGATCTAAAATATGAACTCAAATACTTTCATCTTAGATTACTTATTTAGTTGCTTCATGAGATGCAAATTCAATGAGTGTCCTTGCTTACATCTCAGGAGAAAGTGTCATGTTGCACATTTAACTTATCCTATGAGGACTCTTCACAAGCAAAAAGACAAATGTCATTTGTTAGAATGTTAGAATTGGTTAGAATTTGTCTTAGAATACAATCAAATGTAGTCAGTGCTGCTTTCAGTTAAGTGAAATTTGGTAAAATTACACAAAGTAACAGAAGTTGCTTTCTTGATGTCTTCCATATTTTGAATAAAACCCTGCAAACATTGAGACTGGTTCCCAGTACCTTTCACTCTTCTGTTTAAGTTACCTCTGATCTTGAGGTACAAAACTATTACTGCAGTTTTCCACATTCAAGGGCTCAGTCTCCAGAGGGAGCTGCCTGCTGGATCCCACTGGGCTGGGCACAAAGACTTCTCAACAAGGGCTGGCTCTGCCACCCTCACCCCTCACAGGTAGCACCTCACTGGCACGGAGAGCCTTTTTAGCTGCCTTTTATTACTCACAAAGAAAATGTTGCTTAGTGTGAGTTGGGATGACAGAGTTGGGCCCTTGATGAACAAAGAGTCCAGGATTATCATTCCAAAAAGCCCCCTGAGGCATATATCAAGAGTTATTAACCACTGATTCAGCACATAGCATTATTTTGTAGGCTTAAGTGGGATTTCAGTGATATATTGGGTCTTGTGTCTGTGTAGGGGTATGCCCTCTGTTATTTTATTTTATAAATAGCTGCTACCATTTCTCTTTTACGTTGTTGCTTAAATCTCTTTCAAAAGTACAATATCTTAATCCACTGCTACCTTTTTTTTCCTTCTGATAAAGAATAAATAAATTTGAAAATCCACATATGACTGAAACAAAAGGCAAATAAGCTCTGCATGGTGTGTATTTGGTGAGGAATACCTCATTTTGATGATTTCAGTCATCATTCGTTTGAAAAGCAGAAACTATGATTGTTAAGCCTCATTATTTTCAATGAAGCCTGACAGTTTCAAGGTTAAACAGAAGACAGCTACTTTCATCCCAGTGGTATTTCTCTTCAAACATGGGCAGCTTTTCACTGACTTGTTCTGCTGTGGTGTGCAGTGCCATTGCTTGGTCACAGAGTGGTGCACATCTAAACCCAGTTGTAGGACAGTGTGTAAGCTGTGACATCCAACTTGTGTTTCCCCAAAAGGAGCCTCAATTACTGAAGTCATTCCCCCCTGCCACCCCCCGCCTTGTATAAGCCACACAATATTTCTTTTTAACTGAACAGTGATTTAAATAAGCCATGATCTCAGATTTTACAGGTTTTATGCTGTCTCCCAGAAAAACAATTTTCAGCCCAAACCTTCTGTTTGTCCAAACAGTTTGAAATGTTTCTCCAGTGCTTTTATGTCTCTGAAGTACATTAGAGAGGGTGCTAGTGTGAAAGAGGCCTCCAGCAAGAGTTAAGATGGCTGAGAAAGCTGCTGTGCTTCTGAAATGCACAAGCTAGTGAAAGGGGACTAATTGCCATTGATTTCTGAAATTGAGCATGGACTGACAGCAGTTGTAACAGGGAAACTTCTCAATAAGAGAGGCTGACAAAACTGACTGAACAGTAACTGAGTTAAAATCCTTAGAACTCAGAAAACATTGATGTATCCATGTGAGAAAACTTACAGGAGCAAGTAATTTGTGAAATCCCTGACTTTATACTTGTATGGACTGACAGCATTGAGATATGGCTGTTTGGGTGCTGCCTCTATAGAGACAAAGTGCAGTAGATGTTGTTTTACAAAACCAGAGGGAAATGCACTAGTTGGTTAAGAAGGAAAAGTGACTATTGGAAAACTGAAGGGAGAGGAGCAGTTTTTTAGCAGTTGCTACCTAAGCAGCAGTTATTTACCCGTGCACTCATTCCCTCAGAGTCCCTGTGCGACAGCTAGAACAAGCTGAACTTTCCACATACTTTTCCTGCTGTCTGATGATTACATTTGGGTGGTGAATTCTTAATCTCATTTCAGGAATTAAGTCACCTGGTGAGTACAATGAAAGGTGTAGCTTCATCGTGCTTGGTGGTTCCTGGAAAACAAGAGTGTTTCAATACGTACCAAGCACATTAGTCATGACTTGTGGCAATAGATCCATGTTGACTAGTTTACGTGCACTGAAGTTACTAATGCATTCATGAGATAAAATGCATTTTGCAATTTTGGTAAAGCTGTGTTATTTTTATTTCCTATCTGCATTTCTCATGTGGTATATTTTTTTTTAATTGTCTTTCAAGATAAGAAAAAAATGGTCAACTTTGTAACAATGAATACAGCTATTTGAACCTGCAGCTCTGTTTATCCATTGTGGAAGCTGTGTGTATAATATTCTGGACATGGCTCTGAAAGTGTTCTGCTACACACAATGTCTGCTTTTATACAGATAGTTTATTTGTGGGAGAGTTTTCATTGAAGGATATCATAAAATACAGATAAATTGAAGAAATAGCTTGAATACATGACTTCTGGAATGCTGAAGATAAATGTGTGTAGATACAAAATGATGAGCAAATTTAGTCCTTTGCATTTGTCTACATACTTTAACAAAATAAAGATCAAATTAAGCCAGTGAGACTGAACATGTTTATAGTGCCTGTGCCTTAAAGCTAAGAGGATTGGGAAACTCTCTGTCCTACTTACTTAGACTGTTAATTTTTCTGTAGTTGTATTGACACAAGAATCACGCAGGCCACCTTCAAAATATCATCATCTACATCCTCAGAAACTTGGCTTGTTGAGTATTTTGAAAAAGTTTTTACATAAAACACATCAGCTTTTAGACATAAATTTATAAACCGGACAGTAAAAATATCTGTTGGATAATGGGCAAGATATTATTTAAGGGGAAACAATCGTTAAGTGCTACATCTAACAAGAACCATGGACAGCCCATATTTTTAAAAGTGTAAAAATTAATTATCTTGCTTACACCAAAGTGTATATTGTACCACAGGATTGCTGCACAGGGTTTTGTGTTAATGCCATGCGGGAACCTCAGATACTCCATGCACTACAAAGGAAAAGTGAGTTGATATATGTCACTGACTGCAGATGGGTTGGGTTGTAGGTTAAAAAGTTTTTCGCAAGTTGTCTGCATTTTCCCTTAATGTCTGTCTTTTACAGTAGTGCTTTGTTTCTGAGCGTGACCACCACCAGGACAGCTTGGTTCAGTGCAAACACTGTCTCTTTCAGCCAGAACATTCCTAACATTAGCTTCCTTTTTTTTTCTCTCCTCTCCCTCTCCCCTGCCCCTTCTCAGGTTGGAAAGGCTGGTGGACGTCCTGAGGAAGAAGGTTGGAGCAGGGACCATTAGGACCGTGATCTGATTGAAAGCTGTAGTCTAAGGAAGCTTTCACATCTGGTGACCAGGCTGCTTCATTCAGCACTGTGTAAACACTGAAGCCTTAACTTAGCAAACAGTTGTTAGAAGTGGGACACTCCAGCGACATTCCAAGCTGAGATAAAATCAAATCATAAATGTTTAACTACTTTGCTGCTGAGTTCTGTGATTTGTTAAAATGTTTCACTGCAAACATGTGTTTGTTTTTAACCAAATGCATTGTGGCACAGTGTATTGTGAAAAATTATGTAGATGCTTATTTTAACAGTCTGTCCTCTCCATGTTAGACTATAGTCTGCTGCAAGGCACAGCATGGTCATTTTTTAAAATACTGCAGGCTTCAGGTTCAAAATGCTGCAAAGCAGTTTCAATATTTAAGTCCCTTATTTTATTTGTGAGGCTGCAAATAGTCCAATATTTGTATGTTAAATATATTAATTGATAAAGTAGGTTGGCATTCAAGAAATAGCTCTGGTATATTGGATATTTTTTTCTCCTTACTCATAGACCATTGAATTGCAGGTAGTAACTGTGGCTACATCAAAGGGCAGGATAAATGTACACCTTTATACAGCAGTTGAATAGCTTCTGCTAGTACATGGCATTTTCAGTGTACATTAAAAAGAAATTTACTTTTAGGTTTCACTGGAAGTACAGCTACAAAAAATTGTAACATGAAAGCCTTGTGACACTGTACAGTATCTCAGACAGTGGAGAAAGTTTCCTGTATTGTTTTTAGTCACTCCTCTGTCCTTTTAACTGAGGGAAATCTCTCAGATTTCAGAAAGCACCTTACAAATTAAAAATTCACCTTTTCAGTGTTTGCCTCTTCTCATCCCATTCCTACAAGACTCTGAGTGCCCTGCAGTGCAGGAGTACCATCCAGGCTGGGTTTGAGGCTAAACTGTCAATCCTCAGCTTTTTGTACTCATGAAGTGCCCTAGGACTTAGAGGCCGAAGCATAGAATCTGACAGGGAGGGGAGAAACTGAGAGCTGAGGAGAAATTTGGGGTACACAGACATGATATACTCTACGATACAGTATAGTTGAACTTAGAGTTGTGTTTGTGACCCAACCATCTCCCTGTATGAACAGTCAGGCCAGTACTCATGTAATCCTGCTCAAGAAAGCAGCTGTAATCTCTGAGAACCCCAAATTCAATAAAGAATCTCAGCAGCCAGCTTAGTGATTAGTGAGATTAGTGTCTCCTCAGGACCAGCCTACTCAGGCAAGGTGGATGTAGCTCCTGAGGCTTCCACTTGTCTGCTTTACTTTGTGTTTAGTGTTGTTACATGGTCTTGCCTCTTAATGTTTGCTTGTTCAGGCATTGTGATAGTGCAGTCTATCTGGAGAAAATGAAATTTTAGTTTTAGGTGTAGAGAGAGACATTTTAATGTGTGTTTTTTCTTTCAAACACTTAAATGTTACACCTTCTTCGTCTGCAGACCTAAGCCCCTCCTAGCTTCAGTTGACCAAACCTAACCTCTTGCAGGGAGATAAGTAGCATCCATCCAAGCCACATTTACCCAAGTCAGTTCTAGAAACTTCTGAAGTGCTCCTTTTTGACCTTTGGTCAATCCTAAGATAGCCAGTGAGTCTGGAGCCTCTCCCCCACACCTATTCAGTGGGAAAAAATTTTAATGCTTCCAAACCAGAGGATTGCCACCCCCCAGATTCCAGCCCCTTCACCATCTCCCGTGTGCTGCTGTTCAGCTCTTTGGGTGACTCAACAGCTCTTTGTCCTATTGTCCTCACTGAGCTTTGTGCACAAAGTGGGTGGCAAGATCTCCTGAGCTGTCAGGAGCCATTTCTGCTGTAAGGAGGTAGTGAGGAAGAAATAGAGACAAAAATGTAAGGACTACCATGCTGTGCTAGACCAAAGCCCAGACTGCCTTTGGCAATAACAAACAGAAGATGCTTAGGAAAGGGTATAAAGTCAGGCCAGCTCTAGTGACCACTCCCAACTGGTGTCCCAGCAATTTGTTAGTTGGAGGCTTTCTAAGCCAGAGGTGGTGTCTTTGTATTTAGCGACATTTTTTCACGGTCTATCTTTTTAATCCATTAAAATTGTTTGTACCTACTTGTTCCTTTCACAAGGTCTTATGCAGTTAATGATGCATTGAGTGAAAAAATACTTCCTTTTCTCTTATGAACCAGCTCTATTCATTTGCTATCACCTTGTTTTTGTATGAAAGAAATGGTGAGGAACCATTCCCTGTTCATATTTCCACGTCCCATGTGATTTTATATATTTGGCATCATTTCCCCAACTTTTCTCTTCCAGAGAGAACCCCTGGTCTCATTTAAAGGATCTGCCCCATGTTTTTAATTGGCCTTGTCATACTAATCTGGTTTTTTTTTTCCCAGCTCTGCAGTGTTTTTACTGAGATGCAACACAGTTTGTGCCTAGTGTTCAAGATATAGACAAAATGTGACTTTAATGGTTGTCATAATGATGTTGTCTGTTTTTTTCTCTGTGCTATTTGTAACCATTTTTAGCATTGGACTTGCTTTATGACAGATTATTTATTGGTTTTCATATTTCTGTAGTAAAATGACTACTCTAGATCTCCTTCCTCAGTTGTAATGTTCAGCTCAGAGTTCATTGTAGCCTGTATGAAGACAGAACTGTTTTCTGAATAACACAGCATTTATGGGTACTGAATGTCACCTGTTGTTTTAGCATTCCCTGGTGACCCTGAGCTCTTATTCCATCTCTTCTCACAGCTCCTCTGTAATACTCACAGTATCAAAGTATCATCAGCATCTCCATGCTGAATACAGTGACACGAAATACTGCTATCTCCAAATTAACCCCCTCTTCAAGGTGATTTCTTAGTTAAGTTAAACATGGACTCTGGGACAAAGATCCCTGTAGGACAATAAGGTAGCTTTTCCTTCACTGTGAGAATGAAACATTTATTCTTACACATTGTTTTAATTTAACTTTGAAGTACCTATTTTTCAGTGTAAAAGTATTAGTTATTGCTAGGTAGCTTTTATGAGAAAGCTGTTTGCTACTTTGAAAATGCAAGTTTACTAAATCAGAGCTTGTGTTCCATGCATGAATGTGCTAAGTTCCTCCTTCCCCTTGGAGTGTGAAGAGCTCCTCACCTTTCCCCAAGTATTTCTGTGTCCAAGTGAATAATCTTGTGAATGCAGGCTTCCTACAGCCAGACTGTTTGACCTCCAGCCTCTTGTGTCCATTGGCTTTGTTTGGAAAAGTAGGATGGGCCGTGCAAAAGCCACCTAGCAGGCTTGATATCAGATACATCTGATTGCAGGTAATACTTGATTTGGTAAAATTAACTTATAGTTTTGCTCCATAATTTTCCTTTTGACACGTTATACCCAAGGTGAAAAAATAGTTACTGACTCTGTCTTTTGTCTTGCACCAAGCAGCCTGGAATTCAGAGATAATTTTGGTTAGGGTGTTTTGTCATAAATGACAAATGTGGATAAATGTATTTTCTTTGTAATTAAATCAGATGTGTTGATTTTTAAAATTCAGCTGGAAATGTTTTTATTCTTCAGGAAGGATCATGGGAAATTTTCTATGTTGAGAGTAGAAAGATTCAAAAACAGTTGAGTTCTCCCTCTTCCTTGCTAACAACCTGGTGTGTGGTCTTTGGCAAATTCCTTAGTGACTGTCGTTAAAGGTATGCAGTCCCTGAAGAGGTTCCCGGGCTCCTCCAGGGTGTTTGCAAAAGTATCTATGTGGTTAATGTCAAAACACTTTCACTTCTTCACCTGCTGAAGTGAGCAGCATAAATCACATAGGCCTGGTGGTGGAGGCCCAGCCTTTAGTGCCCTCAGCAGAACTTCTGGTCCTGTTGAGCCCAGCCTAACTTTAGCCTTTCAGTCTAATGAGGGCAGAAAATCTGCTCTGGTCAGTAGAAAGAGGTGATAACGACAACATGGGTTAATGGGCTTATCATATGGTTTATTCATTGAGAACTGATTGGTGCCTGAGCAGAGCTCTGAAAGTGAAAAGAAGCCTGCTCCCATACAGCAGACAAATGCAATTGTCACTTCTGTCCTAATATATGTGAGAAAGATGAGATTGCGTCCGATTATGTACCAGGAGTAACAATTCATTTCCCTCCTGATGGAAAAACAGTTCATGATGAAAGGTGGCTCACCATAGGTGAATCTTATGGTGACAGCTGTAATTACTGGTCAAATTAGGGTCCCTACTGTCTTGAATAGAAGAGGTACTCAGAAATGTTCTTCCCTTGTGAGATTTTGTGTCTTTCTCTTGGTGATCCAGCAGCACGTTATGTATTGGGAGCCATTTCTGGTATATGCCAGGGTAAAATATGTAAATAGCATCATGTTGGCTCGGGATAAGAGCATTATTAATGCTTTTCAGCACTGTAATTATATTCCTAGTAAGCCTTCCCTAAGCCCTCACTAATTAACAATATTGTGACAAATCAACTTTAACAGAAAAGAACTGTGGACCTTTAGTCTTTTAGTACTATTTTTCATGCAGCCCACAGCTGAAAACTGGTGGCATGGCTTTCTGTACTAGTGTTGGGAAAACTGCTGATACTGAAAAGTTTAAATCCAGCTCATTGTTGTTAGTGAGTCCTGTAGCTGAATTTGTTTGGTTCCTCTTTAAATACATTCATGGCAAAGTAAAATTCATCAGTTAATCATTAATGTTAAGGAATATGAAAACCGTTTATAAATAAGCTATCATATTGAAATGATGTTTGGTGATGTCAGTATGTTGTCATATACACATTTATTTATTTGTTTATTCCAAATCAGGAACATTTTACAAGATTGACTTTATATATAGTCTTACCAGGTGTTGTAACATCTTTAATCCATGTACACAAATGAACTTACTATCTAAATGTCAGGATTTCTCTGTGCCTTTATTTCTTTCAATTAGAATAAGGCTGTTGGTTTTCTTCTTGTTAACTTCTACTGCTGAAGATTTTCCTCTCATGCAAGAATCAGCTGTGAGGCACATGAAAATCACTGCTGGGCAGTTTCTCTTGCTGTGATCGCAGTGTTACATGGGCTGACTCTTATCGCTGCAACATTTCACATCAGATCTGCAGAACTGGACTTTCTCTGTTTGTTCTTCTCATGCATTGGTAAATAAAATGTATTCACAAGTTCAAAAAGACAAAGTAGTGTTCTCATATTAGCTCGATTATAAGTCAGCTGTTGAGGTGCAGTGTTCTAAACATTTCATTCTTCAGTTTTGTTGGGAACCCACGTGTTCTGGGAGGCTTTTAAACAAATACTTGAAATGGTTGAAAGATTTACATTGCCAGTGCCTAGCTAAATATGTAGTCTTTAGAAAAGACATGGTTTATTTTGGCACCATTTGACAAACTCAAATATTTTAAACATTTGTTAAGTTTGAGCTTGCACATTTGAACTAAAAGTTTGCATTCCAAAATTGCATCTCAGGTTACCTGTCTCTCTCTCTTTTGTATTTTATAATCCCTTTATTAAAATAGTCTACAAAAGAAGTTGGGTGCAGAGTGTGGTTTTTTATTGTTAATTATAAAATATTATCATTAAAAATCAATTTCAAGGTAACATGTACCTGGTAACTCTATTCAACTAAATGTCAGAAATACAAAGCCAGAAGTGTTTTCAGAATTTAGGCTTTTATGTTAGTAGCCAAGACTTCATTGTAAAATTAATGGAACACAGTAATAGTGGGACCAAATTCTGCAATGCTTTTCTCTTAGTCTTATTATATACTGTGATGTGCAAGTACTAACTTTGCTGGTGAGTGCAAAGCCAGGCAATAAAGAAAATAGACTGAAAAGCTATGAAATAGAACAGCTTGAGGAAAAGGAAAAGCAGTCTTTGACTTGGAATTTATTTTCTTTTCCTTCCTTTGTCAGAAAGGAGGAGCAAGGGAAGCTGGAAATCCAATTGAAGAAAAAAATCAAAACTAAACAAAAAAAAAAAAAAAAAAAAAAAAACACAAAACCCAAAAAAAACCCCCAGCATCCAAAAGAACACCACTTTTATTTTCTTTGAAGTTTTAACCTGAAACTTGTACTGAAACATAAAAAGTTGAGCATTTATTCATTGAAATCACCTTATTTTGTTCAAACCTGGCAATCGCTGTTCACGAGTCCTGAGCACACCGTTACAGCTGTGTTCGTGCTCTGGCGTGTTGCCCAGGCGGTTGCCAGCTGCAAAGGGTCACACTCCTTTCTGGGAAGCTGTCCTCAGGGGGAGTTGGGCATGTTCCCTCATGGTGACCTCGGGCCAAAGGTCCGTGCAGTGCCACGTTAACAGAAGTTCATCATGGTTTGAACAGCTCCTGAACATGATAGATGCAGATCCATTCTCATATGGTAAAACAGAAATGTAACCAATAGAATTGGTCACAATTGGTTCCCAGTGGCCATGAAAAGAAAAGGTTAGGATTGCCCTTGCAGAATACATGACATAAATTTGTGATGATTGATACTCTCACATGAATATGCATGGTACATTTCACACACCGTTTAACAATATAGTGGTATCCCAAAGAATTCAAAGGATGGAAACAGTTTTATTTGTTCTTGAATAAGTATTGAGAGAACTGATTTCAGTAACAAACTTACAAGAAAAATCAAAACATTAAGATGCAAAAATGAAGAGCTACGTTGGTAGTACTCTAATTTATTGTCTGAAGCCACAGGACTTTGTTCATGATTATTTGACTCACTGATGTAGTGCCCCTGTTTCACAGGTTTTATGATCACGGAGATAAACATCTCAAAAATCAGTCTATGAGAAATGGGTCTACTGGAGTGGATGTATATCTAAGTGGATGTAGCTATCAATTTAGATGTACTCTTTAGAATCAAGATTTCACATATGCCTAAGAAAAATCAAAAAGTTAATTCATTTATTCACTAGAAATAAAATAACAAGTAGTATGGTCTTCATCAATAAAATCATCCCATTTGGTACTTTAATAGGGTCTATAAAATTAATAGGGCTTTGTGTCTTCCACTTTAGACAGGGAAGATTTTCCTTCTCCCCTAACAATCTACCAGTGTTTGGAGTACAAGATAATAATTAAATTTTGAGCAGAACACCAAAAAGAATTGGGTGAAATCCAAATATGCATGTGTGGAAGCTTTGCTTGCTTCAGACTTGGAAGAGGAGAAAAAATTGCTAAAATGAGTGACAGAAATACTTTGCTATGCTTACATATGGAGTTTTAAAACTTCACAGAAGTCAAAGCAAGACATAGCTGTTTAATATTTGAAAGTAGATGTCTCAATAAGGTTAAAGTTTGTATGTCAGCATAAGACTAAGAAATTGTTTAAAATTTGGTTGTTTTCATTTTTTTCACTAAATTTGTGTTTGATAGAACAAGCTACCTTGGTTCTAAATTTCAAATAAAGCATTTCTAATTAACACTTACCTGGTTTTGTTAGTAGATAATCAGTATGAGAATCACCAGTGTCCCCTCTGCTTCTGTTGTCCTATTGCTAAGGTTTTCTCCATGTACCATGTAGACAGGACAGAAAAAAGTTGTATTAAAATAGTAAATATTGAGTTGTATTTAGTAGGATCTGAACCCTTCTACAATTTTCATCAATTGATCTCAGAACACATTTAAAAGAAAATTTAATAGTGTTTTGTCCCTAAGTTGGCAGAAGTGCCTAAATGAGCATTTGACTACATGAGTGGCCAGATGTTGGACAGCTCTGTGCAGGAAGGCAGTGGCAAACAGCTTGAGGGGCTGCAGCCTTTTCAGTGGACCAGGCTGATGGCTACTAGGAATGTCTGGAAGATCTAGTCCTTATTAATTTACAGCTCTCAGGGATTCATTCTCAGCTCTCCAAGATAATCAGTTGCCACTGTATGAACAAAAGCAAGGGCCCTGTCTATAGCAAAGTTGTCATTTGGTGTCATTTATTTCCTCAGTAGTTGCTTTAAGACAAGCTATAAAGTCATATCAGCAACAAATTTTATATACACAAAAGGAATCTTGTAGTCTTTAACAAAAATAGTATCCCTGTTGGACTGCTTTGGGAACTAATATTTGTCTGCTGTGCCAAAAATCTGGAAAAAGTCTCTGGAACTGTGTACCTCTTCCATGGGCTATACTGGAGAGTCAATGAAACTGAATTGTACCGTCCTGATTTACTTTGGGTTATTGCTCTTGTGAATTGCAGCAATGTTCAGCTGTGCAGAAGGGAGAGTGGCTCCCTTGGAGACAAAGAGTGGAGTTTCAGGGCATCTGAAGATACATGAAGATACGTGAAAATGAACAGATTTCTAGGGGATCTGTCATGGGGAGTGGAGCGCAAAAAGGTTATTGTGGTCTTAGGGCCAGACTGCTCCCACAAGGGATATCATCCTGGGGGGACAGCTGTGTTGTGAGCAGTGACTGAGTTGCAGCAGCAGCACGATGAAGGCAGTGATGTCTCTTCCACTGGCTAGACGACCCACGTTCCGCCTTCCCCAGGCCTGCAGGATTCCTTGCCTGGTGCACATACACGCACTGCCCAGACAGAGATCCTCACTTGGGCCGTCAGACCATCTCACTGCTTGGGCCCAGACAGCTCCTATACTAATGTTTTTCTGTAACAGGTCCCCGTGAAAGGCAGCCAGATAAGTATTGATCAGCCCAGCTGTGGCCAGGAGGGGTGGGGCTGTACGTGCCGGTCAAGTGGGCAAAGGGAAAGAGAGGTCAGGACAGAAAGGGAGGCAGGAGAGGTAGAGGTGACTGTGCTTTGCAGAACTTTGTAGGGTCTTGAGATTCTGTCTGGCTGTGTGGTCCTAGGAGACAGGGGAACCACTGGCCTGCATTTCCACAGAGAACTGGAAGCCAGTCTTTAATACCACACCCAGGCTTGCCAACAACCAAGGCCTGACTGTGCCCGATGTCATCTCTGATTCACACAGGCCATCAGATCTCAGCCTAAGTCATTCACAGAATCTGCCTGTTGGACTACTTTCAGTGTTTCTGTACATCCTTGCTAGAGTGAGGAACCTATCACAGATGCATGAACTAGGGCTGTGCTCAGCTGACAGCTGCACCTCTGCTGGAAGAGCTGAGACTAAGTCTGGATTACCAGGTCAGGCAGTGCAGCAGAAGCAGACCCCTAGAGCTAACAGATGGCATGTAGTCCCCAAAGCCAACTCCTGTACCTTTGGAGCTGGCTCCACAGAAATCCCTGGGCTGGGCTGCCTGGTGGCAGGCAGTAGAATCACATCTCAGTTTTGTGTCATTTCTGTGGGATCCTGAGTGCATTGAGACTGCTCTGGGACATGAACCAAAGCAAAGAAAAGCCAGATGAAAGAGTGGCTTTTAAAATACACCCTCAACATAAAGAAAACACAACTGTAGATGCATCCTGAGTGAAATTTGTCTCAGGAATTTGCTTTTCAGATATCTGTCTGCCTGGCCTTTTTCACAGAACAGGGCTTGCTCCCACATTCTGTCGACGTATGGGACTAACTGCACCTGTTTGTAGTATTCTGGGACTGCAGTTTACTCCATCCTGAGAGCCTGAAGTGCAGGAGAAGCAAGGACAAAGATGCACAAACTCACCCTGCACTGTGCGAGGCAAAGGCTTGGCTAAGGGCTGTGCTGCCAGTGTGCAGGGATATGTGTGGAAGTGAGAGGGACTTCTCATATCTGCACAGCTGCAGCACCAAACCTTTGAGTACAGCAACAACCACCACAGCACGTACTGGAATGAAGGTTTGCAGCTTTGCTCTTCTTTGATCACATAATGGAGAAACTCAGCTCAATTGCTTTTCAAGCAGTTAAATGCCAGGCTTGCTTCACATTTTACCTGTCTGCTGAGGATAATTTTATTTCCCCAAAGCTCTAACATCCACTAGAATAAGGCTCTTATAAATCTGAACTACTTGTGCCTAAAGAAAATGTACTTCATCAGTGGGTGTTTTTTTGAAATCCCACTATACTTTTCTCAATAGTCCTACATAGCAAATCCACAACTACCTGTTGTAACAATCCACCCTGATTTCCAGTAATGGCATTATCCTTGTAATTTTCCATTCATTGAAATCTGGTCTGCAAATGACCAGCTTTGCATGTTACGAGGTGCTTTCTCCAGAACTTTACCCTCACACAGCCTCATTTCCTGTACAGCCAACTATTGCTCTTGAGTGACCTGCTACCTACTATCTCATTAAAAGTCTGGTTTTTTTCAGTGCTATTGACATTTTATTCTTTTAGAGCTCTTCCAAAACCACCTGCTGCAGGTGTCTGACTAGGTGCTATGACTATTGCTTTCCACTAGTAGTAAAGCAAGCTGAGGTCTGGCAGGCTGAACCACATATTACCCTCTTGACCCAGGATGTGTAGGAGATATACCACCACCTGTCACAGGCATGTCCTGTTCCCACCTTCTGCCCCACCCCCCGCTTGCAAAACCTGTAAGTTATGTCTTTAGTTCCTATTCAGTTACTCTTTTACCTAAATGATTGATATACAGCACAGGTATCTAGCTAGCTGCCATGTCAATTTATGG